CTAGTAACACTGCATCTATAATGGCTGGCTACGGCGGGAGGCAAAATTCAGGTTTTTTTTAAACCATCTTGATTAATTATGAATTAACTGTCTCAGCTGTACTTTCTTTTTTCTTTTTCTTTTTTCGTGATAGTTTTTTTTTTTTCGCCGTAGTCGTCGCGTCATTTTTTTTCGTCGCCTGGACTGAACTTTACTCATCTTCTTATCTCATCTGGTTCTTTTAGAACGCGCAACACAAAATACCGAATCATATACTGTGAATGAAACCTATACACCTCGAAACACATGGGCTCGTTTGGTTGACCTCCCAGTGAATAATACTCCAACAGTGGCAACTTACGCATCATCTCCTCAGTATTATTACAAAACGTGAACAGCCGTTTCTGTTGCATGCATTCCAAACTTGGTTGTATATTTTCTATATTCCCGGTAGGGAGCTTTAGTCAAGTTATAATGCGTACTTTTAATGTGGTCCCATAAGCCGTTTCGTCTCGTCTAGCCAAGTAGATGCTTTCATACACTCTGTATATTGTAAACAAAGTCTACGCTTGATGGTTATTTTCTTGGCCGGCCAACAGTTAAGAATAATCCTTTTTTTTTAAACGAACTGACTAGTCGTTTTAACGCAGTGGCCACGTATAGCATTATAGGTGTTCAAGGAAATTAAGCTGAGAAATAGAATAATTTTACGATTAGACAGATGAATATATATTTATGGAAATAGAAACTAAAACTTATTCTTTTTTAGCTGGTCTGTAGTTTTGATATGTTGTTGTGGCATCAAGTTTTGATGAAGACTTAAGTTGGTTTTCAAAGGAGCATTTGTTACTAAATTCTGATCTTTATTAGAGTTGCTATCAATTCGTTGTAACGATTTGTTTTTAATTTAACTAAACAGCTGCAGCTTATCTAGATGTACTAAATTTGTTATTTCATTCTGCGATCTCGGTTGCTCAACATGTTTTGCTCAGTGGAAGTGAAAAGTTAATGCTTTTCGTAAAGAAGTTTATTGGAAGAAAAAATTCCAGAAATGAATTCAATAAATTTTTATTTTTACAGTCACATATATGCGCTTTAATTGGACTGTTTTTGAGTGATAAATATTAAGACCGCCCGCTTCTAGCAATGGAAGTTGCAGCGAGTGGAAAAGTGGAGCTTCCCTCAGATGGTTATAAGAAATACTTCGACAAGGTTTTACAGATTTCTTTTGACGGACTGAAAAACTGCTGATTTTTATCATTTTTATTACGTATTTGGTCCCATGCATTCTTATGAACACTTTGAAAGAGTGCAGTTCTTTAAGCTAATTCTGATATGGCGTGGAAGATGTCATACTATCAATAGGCGGTTGGCTGGCACTGTTATTGTGGATTATGGTTCTGCGGAGTTTAATCGCATATGTGAGGTAGTAGATGTCGTTCCATCCACGTTTACTCAGGTCTGGAGGTTTCTCCCCAAGTCGAAAACATTTTCGTCGCAAGCTTACGAGGTTTCCTTCTTGACAGGTCGGACTGTATAATCGTATTTTTGTACTGTTGCAAGCATTGTTTATATCATTGCTGCTCGGGTGCTTTGTTAACAGATGAAGCTAAATTCATTAAAAAAGATTGAGAATATTAGTAATGTTTTTGATATTTCCCTACCACTTTAGCGGAACTTCTTGTAAGTTTTCGCCCTTGTACGCTAGATAGCAGTCGACATCCGCATGTGCCCTTCCCGTATGCGATTAGCCTTTCAGTCGTTTCCGAACGTGAATCTACGGTTAAATGGTTGGTTTAGATCTTTCAAGTAATCGCCCGTGTGGCCTGTCAAAACTTGTTCGGGCCTGGAGACACTAGCAGTTTCTTTCCGTTTTTTGGTGTCACCAATTTCCTCATTGAGTAGAACTTCTTTTTTTCTCAAAGAAGTTCACCGACTCGTACAGAAAACAGCTGTTTTTTAAATTTTTAAAATGATCCTCTGGATTTAGTTATCTTTTGGCTTCTAACCCCTGATCTAAATTAATTTGGTCCTTGTTGTAGCTTACATGGTCACATTGATGAGATCATGTAATTTGAAACTTTTCCAGCAGGAGATTACGATTTGTTCTAACTATTACTTTCTAGTTTACTCAACGTCCATGCGGCAAAAGAAAACAGAGATTCATGGCTTGATACAGTTGCGTTTCCAGCCCTGTTAAGGTTTGAGACTTTCAATCTTTACTTCTCATATCGGACTTTAATGAGTTGGTTTTTAAGTAGCTTACACAAGAGAAACGCCAGATTTAACCAGAAGTTTTTAAATGACGGACTAAATGAGGCTGTATTTAATTGAAAGGTTTTCAGTAACGCTTTGCCAGCCTTTTCATTAGTTGTTATCTAACAATTGAAGATTTCCCACAAGCGGTACATTTTGGTCGTTGTAGAGATTTGAACGGCAGTAAAATCTAAACAGTTCTTTTTTCTTTGCAGAAAAATTTTTTGGTGACGTTTTTTCAATTTATAGGCGTGTCAGGCTCACGCTTATAATAGGAAGTTCTTGTTCTTACAGCAAAATATTGCTAATTGTAGTCTGGCTTAAACGACTGAAAATTTACACTATCGAGTTTTCTCCGCATTGAAGATGGAATCATTTTGCACTGGTTTCCAGATAAAATTACGTGAATTTAGGCAGTACAGGGCAGTATAGTCAGATTAGAAAATTTATAAAAAGGGTCTAGTGTAAGAGAAAAGACCATTATCAAGAGGAAGGTGCTGTCAAAGAAATTAACGAAGCAGGAGAAAGTGTACTTGAACTGAAGAATCTTTTCGTAACTCCTCAAAAATTTTTAAGTAAATTTGGCATAAATGCATTCAAAAATAAAACCTAAAGGAAGAAACTAAAGGGTTTTGCTGTTTTACTGTCATTCATTTTTTCTTATGTTAACGTGTAAACAACAAGCTTTTTAAGGATCCTTAAGAGGCTAGAACTGACCAAATCATCTGTAGTGTCACATAGTCTCGTTAGTGGAGCAGAATTTGTCGAAACCTATCGTCACGTAAAGCAAAACTATGGTCGTCATATCGCAAATGTATGTCACATGCCTACCTACGTATTTATACGATTTGAAGCGGTTGAGAAAAAATCAAGTGGATTTTTTTGGGAGGAGAAGAAGGGTATTTTGCATCCGAGAGTAAGAGGTACAGTGTGAAGAATAAAAGATTCAGGTTTCACCATACAATTAATAAAATTTTAAATTCTGGTGAAAAACTAAGCTGAATAAGTTATTGGACGATTCTTTGCTGATACCAAGGGCGTTCCGAGACCCTTATATTAACATTTTTAAGAACCCTTTACCAGCCAATGTACCGCTATTTCTCGGTAGGTGTAAGTGAAGTTTTGCACAGGATTACACGATTAGTTTTACTTCGGATTGACCACTTTCTTATTCTGAGAAAAAGTGTAATGTTTTAATTATTTTACTTCAAAATTTTTTCGTTGATTCTAAGCTTAAAGCTTCTTGAGAAAATTTAGCATGCAGTAATCTTCTCGCTAAGTCTAAGTAACACTTTTGAATTTTTTCTGCGGTCAAGAGGAGTTAACATGTACGTGACACTTGTCGTTCCAGCCGTGCAATAACTGTTAGTATTATACTCATTGAAAGTGGACTCAATAACTTTTTTTTTGCGAGAATTACTTGCAACTTGTTGTTATGCATTTTCAGCAGTGTATCCCAAGGCTTTTTCAGATATAAGAGAATAATAATATCAATAATAACAACAATAACAATAACAACAGTATAATGATAATAATAGGAACAATAATAATAATAATAGGGTATTAGTTATTGGTATTACTGTTATTATAATATCATTGATATAATAATAATAATAATAATAATAATAATAATAATAATGAAAAATAATAATAATAATAATAATAATAATAATAATAATATTAATAATAATAATAATAATAATAATAATAATAATAACAATTTGTATTACTTTTCAGCAAATTCTGTAATACTTTTGTTTAACTGGGTTGACTCGGTAAATTGAAGACTAAAACTATCAAGTAATTTTTTAATAGGGGGAGGGGAAAGTAAGATTTGCGGAGAAAGAACGGTATGTTTTGAATTTGCAAAACAGTGTTATTTAAACGCTTCAGTGTTAGAGTGAGCTCTGCCAAACAAATAGTTTGCAGCCATTGGAAGCAGTTTATATGTTATGCGGAAATATTTGTAAAATTTACTCTACAAGTTTTTATTAATTAATATATTAATTTTTTGTCTTATTTTTCCATTAATTTTTGCAGAACTGGACTGAAAGAACGGATCCTCAAAAGTTTGTTTATGAAGACTGTGCGATAGCTGCGTATTTATCCGTATGCTCTCGTATTCAACAGATTCTGTGATAGATGGTTTTTTTTTTTTCGAATAGTCGGTTTGTTATGAACGAATATTCGAGAGTTTAATTGTTTAGGTGCTGTGGGGAAAACGCTTTCAAAAAAATCTTTGCTTTTGCGATGTTGGATGTGGCAACGGACTCCTTGTTTACCTCTTATCTAAAATGCATGTATGGTGTTATACACTAAGAGTTTCTGCTTTTTCCTTTCTAAAATGTTTTTTTGTTTCTATGATGTGTCTTGCTACTTCTTCTGGTTTCCTTATTTGAAATTGTAGTTTACTGGTTACGGATTAGATGTGAGAAGAAGAAAAATATGGTCAAACTTTGAAGAGGCCGACTTAAGGGAATTGGCTTTAAATCCAGAAAAAGATGTTATTACTGATGCCAATTTCTTAATTGGTAATCATAGTGACGAGCTCACACCGTGGATTCCCATAATGGCAGCTAGGTGAGATTTTTTGAATTATAAAATGGTTATTCTTCTAGTTTCAAAAATGTCAACGGAATTTAATCTGCATTGTCAGATGCAATAATTTTTTTGTTTAAAAAGGCTATATAATTCTTAGTTTGTGGTTCTGTATTTTTGGGCTATCTGTATTTTTAGAAAGTGTTGCAATTTTTTTCTCTTGCCTTGTTGTCCACATAACTTCTATGGGATTTATTCGCTGAAAATAAAGACGAAAGATGGATACAGCATATATCATTCTTACTTAGAATTCATACGCAGCTTATGTCTGAAGTAATTTTTTAAAACCTTAATTTTTTTAACTATCGACAGTTTATCGGCAACTGGCTTTGCTTTCTACACTTCAACTTTATTCCAACATGTAATTTTTTAAAACCAAAACTTTTTTTTAACTATTAAGAAAACAACCTAAGTATTGCAACTAACGACAACAAACACCATCTTTTCAGGTTGGGCTTTGTAGTGGAAGAAGATCGTTTGAAAATACCATCCACTAAGCGTCACTGTTTTTTCTGTACTGTTCCAAGTTCTGGTCTCTCTGCAGGTACAGACTCGATCATTAACGAAATCTTGATCAGCGCAAAAACTGGTCCGTTCACTGTGCGTGGAAAAGCTATAGAGGTTTGGCAGATCATGTTGAAAAAGATGTGTTACCCTTGGAAGTTTGCTCAAAAACACGTGCCAATTTTTTTGAAAACTATTTCCCAAGTTTCTGCAATCTACAGGTGCGTAATGTCACCCACATGCCTAATGACCTCCGAGAGGTGCTAACAAAAAAAATTTTTGATCACCTATATCAAATGGTCAGCGATAGTACCGAGTAAGTCTCAAAATTCGATTTAAAAGTTTACTTTGGTACTTTGTTTTTATTAATCAAATCTGAAGATTCTTGTCAGTAGATTTTTATTTAAATAACGAGTTGTTATACTTGAAGTAAATGGCATCTCGATGCCAGATCTACTTTGTGCGACATAGCAAATCTCTTGGGACCAGAGGAGAAGAAGCTCTTGAAGAGTTCATGCGGAGGTTTACAAACATTCATAAAAAATCAGCACCAGATTTTCAAAGTGAGTTTTGCATCATCTTCACCTCAGATTATTATATTTTTAAGAATTTCCAAGAACAAAGCTGTTTTAAACCTTGCTAAATGTGAAGCCGTCCCATTTTTAATCCTGCGCCCGTACATTCAGGTAAGTGACGGAATAGTCTCTATTCGTGATTGGGCCAAAGACTGTAAGTCAGACGTAAAGAAACCGAAAACACGAATGTGCTGGTTCCACCAAAATCATCCGCAAGGATGTCCATTATCGGCAGAAAGCTGTAGTTTCAAACACTAAAACCAACCTGTCTGCCCAAAATCACTAGGATACATCCCCGCATTGTTTCAAAGGACTGTTTCTTGTTTTTTAACGAGCTAGTGCTACGAGACTGTTAGTGTTATACTCCGTCTCCTTAATTAGCGGAAAATAAAAGGCCGTTTATTGCTTGCCTCAGAATGTACCGTGATGTAATTCTAGAAGCATAATGTGTAAAAAACTCGCTTTTAGCTCTTTTGAGCATAATACGACTTCAAATGTAAAAAATGGAAATTGGATGACGCGTGGCTAAATCTTACTACGTAAGAAACATGTAGTGTTTTTTTTATTATGGCATTTACAAGGTGTGTAACACCATCACTAATTTTTCAGGTTTATTACCTAAACTCTTTGCTAACTTTAACCTTACTCGAGCAATTAAGTAGCATTAATCTTAAATTAAACATTTAAGAAATTACATCCAGTAAGAATGACATTTTTGCAAATAACAGGCAATTATTAATTCGTTAGCGTCATAAAAACTTCCTTGCTCTTCTGAGGCTATACCACTTTGTAGGAGAGAAGAAAGAAGCGTCATTACTAACCAGTTATTTTAAAACTAGTTAAAAAGAGACAATAATTATTTGAGATCTCCAGTGACAGGAAGAAGCTTGATCAAACATTTGCAGTCCCAGGCTCACTTTCACTTGTTGTCGTGCTGGAAGGTACAGGCCATTGGATAAATCATAGCATTTCAGGCATTTCTAGCTCCCCGTTGTTTCATTGAGAAATAATACCAAAAGCAAAAAGTTTCATTTCATATACTGTAGCACAAAGCCGTCAATTAATGAAAATAAAAGGAACAAACTTTTTTGAGCCGTCTTCGTCGCTCCTATCTTCTTCATCACTAAAAGACAGTTTCTTCGCACAACGGCGATTTCTTGCTGTAATTTTCAGGACTATTAGGTACTAATTACTATTATTATATTCATATGGTTTTTTTGCGGAGAACAAACCTCAAACTAATCAGAAATGTCGCTTACTCTACTGATTATTTAGAAGGTAGGGAGCGAAGTAAAACTGTTAATTTATAGAATAAGCATCATCTGTACGCCACCAAGGAAGGGATTCTGGTCAACTCCCTCCATTATGATTTTAACATTCTAATGCAAATTACATGGTACTTTTAAAAAAATGGAAGAAAGTAGAGGATGGGAGCAAACCAATTACAATAAAACGAACAATAGAATCTGTCCGTCTGAGGTAAGCTCACTAAACTAAACAACAGAAGAAAAACAAAACTGACACTCATACTTGTACCAACACTCAAGCGTCATCTTAAACCACTTTTAGACCCCTCACTAGATCTTTGAAAGTTCTACCATAATTTTAAAAAATTTATTGCCTATTTTCTGAAACGTCCCTAAAAACTACAGTGGAAAATTGCACTCCACTACCGAAGTTTTCCATAAGTTTATTTTGTGATAAGTAGCCCTTAAAAGAAGCTAATTCAAAGCACGTCTAGAAAGAGTGTACTTGATAATTCCTTAATGCCGGAGTACGAAACTTTATGCTCCACAAAAAATGGAAACATCCCGTTTCTAACCTAGGCATTTGATAGCTGGGAATGAGAATCTACTATTGAAGGAAGCGTAACCCCGTAAGAAATGAAAAAGAGAGGAATTTCACTCTAACCAGGCTCATATTGGTAGTTTTAAAAGCCTTTTACTAACCAACGTAGGTCCCTTCCGGCGCATAAATTGTGTCAACATCGACTGCTGATGAACGGTTCCTTCCCTGTTCCAAATATACTGAAGCAACTGAACGTGTCAATACTGCATCGTCTGACGCATGGCGTTTCCCTTCTAAAAACCAGATTAAGCGAAAGATTTAGATTTTCGAATTAGTGACTTCGTCTCCTAATAATCCAACTCTAATTGTAAAAGATATGAATATTCATTTTTTGGCGCATTATCTCCAGTTTTTTGAGTAAACAAATAAAGTACCACGTAAAGACTGTGTAAGCCTTGTCGGATAAATTGAAGAGGACGGTCTTGGCTCGGTTCGTGAGTTGGACCGGAAAGTTACTTCCTTAGTTCGATTTTGAGGTGAAAGTTGTGCAGCACTAAAATCATAATATTGCATTTCCTCTCTAAATTTGAACTCCTAACAGCAAATATGAAACAAAATGAGAATACTTTACTGTACGATGATAACTGTTCAAAAGTTTTGAAATTTTTCAAATGAAAGTTAACCCAATTCTTGATCTTTTATACCTCGGCAGTTCAGGCTTCAAACGTTCATCTTCAATCCCTGACGTCTCCATTTCCTCAATTTTGAACCGTAGCATATCGTTCTCCATTAATGCTGACTCAGATAATTCTTTTCGAGATCGAGCCAAGCGCTCTAATTCCCTGTACATAGCGACAAGCTGCCTAAAAAAAGCTTGATCTTAGCTCCTTTGAGTTTGGCTCCGCAGTAAACCAAAAATTGTAAAAACTTCATGCCCTGTACAAAAAAGTTTCAAGTTGAAAACCTTTCGTTATTTTTCTTTTGTTCAACCACTTGTTTAAGCTCTCCAACGCGATGTTTAAGCTTGCTAATTTCAATATCTTTTGGCGGAATTTCGTCGACACGTAGTTGCAGTTTTGCATTCTCGTGCCGCAACGCTTTATTCTCCAAAGATTTCATTTCTAGTGCAGCGTTCAAACTATTAATCTCTTTGAGAAGGCCCTGAAGCGTAAAACAAATTAGTTTTAGTGGGAGGCTAAATTCCATATACAACAAGGAAGAACTGAAAGAAGTAAGAACAGCAAAAGGCTGCTTTTCCTACAATCCTGAAGAAAAGTTTCAAAAATTTATACGATTACCGCAAATTCTTTTAGAAACTTTACCCAGTAACACAAAGAAAAATTCGCTGAACTTTAAAACTTACAGCAAAATGACGAAAAAAAAATAAAGTACCCAAATATTAAAATTTATTTAGAATATATAAGAAAAGGTCTATTTAGTTTTAAATCAAGAAGCTAATAAAGAAACGAATAAAACACCGGGTGAAGCACTTTTACGAGTCAAGAGGTGGCTTTAAAAAGTTGTTAAAACATCACAGTTTGATCTTACAGCAGTCTTTTCATCTTGATCCTTAGTCAAGGTGGCAACCAAAGCAGCTTTTTCTCGTGCCGTTTGTTCAGCGTTTTTCTCAGCTTCTTCAATTTTACGCTTCAATTCTTCGCAGTGAGCTTGATTATCCTTTTTTAACTGCATAATACCTGTTTCAAAAGACACACGCTGCTGTTCGTTTTCCATCCGCATGTTCTTCTTAAGCTCCTCGATCTAAATGATACAGGAACAAGCTAACCAGACAAAAAGAAAAATTTAAAATTACTTGTCTACCAAATATTATAAACGAAATAGGTGCAAAGAAGAATCAATACAGCAGCAAAAGGAATTAAAAATCAAAATTGTTCGGTAGTAAATTATCTACGATAATGTAAAACAAAAACAGTTGAAAAAGTTCAAGAGAAGGAACCAAATAATGCAAGATCCACTCATCTACTAACAAAAAATGTCGCAGTTATAAACAAAATCAACTAGACAGTATTAGACAGAATTGTCACATTCATAAAAACAAAGAAACGGCTGCGTAAAATATGCAAACAAACTAGAACTGTCAAAGCCGACACAATAAAGTGACGGAAAACGCTCTCTGCTTTATCACTGGCTATGACAGAATTTAACATTCATATTTCAGCAAACTTTGAAGTGACTAGCTATTAAGTCACTTATATTTATTTGAAAATAGATAAAACTATAGTGTTTTCATTGAACTGTCCAAAAAAAACTTACTTTATTTTGATATTCATCGTGTAAATCACTGATTTCTTTATTATGCACTCGAGCAGCTGCAAATACAGTTATTGAAATAAATAAAGCAACAAATGTGAAGAACCAAAATTTTGATTGGAAAAAAGTGATGTAAAGTATGTACATTATCAAAACAACACAAATTGTTGTGGAAGAAAATAATGAAATCGTCAGAAAACTTAATGGGATTGAGTTATGGTTTTTCTGACGAACTAAATGGGAGAAGACGAAAAATAAAGACATAGTTAAAGAAAATCAGCTACAGTAGATTCTAAGTTAGAATAATAATAACAGTAATTAATAAGAATTAATATTAATGTTTACAAGAATAAAAGTAATAATCCCAAAATACGACAAGGGACGCAAAATTTCTTATGCGATATCGCATAAACAGTTAGCTCAACTAAAGATTTATAAAATTTCTTGAATAACAAATTAAATGAGATTCCTGAACGAACGTTTTTGAGTACCGCAGTCAGTTTAAATACACAATTAAGGCAAGAACTTTGGTAGCAACGATCTGCTCACATCAGAGATTCTGACGATGACGTACAGATAGTGACTTTAAAAACGCTAATTTACATGGAAGTAAAAAGTGACGAAGAGGAATAAAGAACGTGCAAAGAGGTATACACAAAAATTTGTACTGAAGCAATGAAAAAAAGGAGATCAAGAGGACAGAAGGGCGTGAACAGAAACACTGCACTATCTTGATAAAGTAAACTGAATGGACATATAAAACACATTCCGCTCAGCTCAAAATAATGTTTTCAATAAATAGAAAAACATTTAGAAATTAAAATCTTCTCAAAATATTGAAAATTTTAGGTAAACAATGTATTAGTTATCTATATCTGCTTCTGCTTGAAAAAGTTCTCTATTGCAACAGTTTTCTTAATAAATACGTAATTCTTAATGAACTAAAATTATCTTTACAATAATATCCACTAAAGATTAGAGAATTCTAAAAATTAAATGTGCTTAGTGCAACACTAATCCAACAAACATCCAGTAAATTTGAAATTTTTATTGCATTTACTAAAAAATACGTTTTTAAGGAAGACGGTAAAAAGCAAAAAATCTGGACTTTTTTGTTTAAACAGCCAATGTTTTCAACAAAAAAGTAATCTTATCCCGTTTACGGCCAAAAAGAAAACATATAATGTATCCTATAAAAAAATATCGCTGAATGTCAGAAAGTAATCAGAAGTATTGAAGATGCAAAAGAACGATAACATACCATTTTCAGTATACCGTAAATGTTCTAATCGTGTTTGAGCGCTTGCATTTTTATTCTCTTCGATCACTGCCACTAAAAAAAAGATAAGAACTTTGCTGACTGCTAGTACATGTCACCCGTATAAATTTATGAAATCTAAGTTTTTACTTTGATTTTCATTTCTAAAAAAAAAAAAAAAAAAAGGAATTTCACCACGAACAATTTTTGACTTATTTTGAAAAATAAAAATTACTGGAAGAAAGAAAATATTCGGTAAAATTTAAAATCTACTTACACAGTCGAGCCTTTTCTTCCAAAAGCTGTCCAACTTTATTTTCACTCTGCAATTGCTTTTATGTAGTCAGAATTCTAATGTCTTTAATTTAAAAAAAAAAAAAGAAATATTTTGTATATTAAAGCTGTTGTAAATTAAAGTACATTAAAAATACAAAATCACTAATATTGTACAAAATCGAAAAGTCATTTGAGGTAAATAAGGAACGAGAATAGCATCAGTTACATTATGAAGCGCAATTGCCATTGCTGTAAACCCGCGCACGGCATCCTTCAATCTTTTAAGTTTCGCAATTTCTAAAAGTAAAATAGTAGTAAAAAAGAGTCGATTTACGACAGAAAGATTCTGAGAAACGTATCCACTTCGACATAAAAAATACACCTAGACTGAAAATTTTTTCAACATATTAAATCAATACAATTTCGCACCTGTAATACTAGACGTTTTGCTCTGTGACTGATGAGAGGTACTTGGTTGACTCGTAAAGCCACTACCAATAAAATGATGTTGAGCTGTAATCAAACCACCAGTATATTTTTCAAAAAAGAATATTATATGGGATGCTCTGTGTTTATAGGTTCAAAGCACCAATCCAAAAGAATAGAAAAACAAAAGCTCCCTGCTTTTCACAGTTCAATTTTGATTAAAACCAAAAACTGTAAGAAACCCAAAGCCTTTATATGAGTGGGAAAGATGCAGTATTAATGAAACAAAAAAGACACGAAATCTGTAAAACAAACATACAGTGCCCTTTAGGAGATGCTGAGACCAATGAGTTATCCTTTTGCAATCGTTTGTTTGTACGGTCAGTTACAGTCGTTTTGTTTGGAACTGCTTTATCAACAGCTAAAGAAGTCTTGATAACCTAGCGAACAAAAAGACGTTTAAAATAATCAAAAGATTAGTTCAAGTAGTGTGAACCCAACTGTAGCATAGCCAAAATTACAGATTAGTAGATGTCAGAATTTTGTCCTACTTTTCGCTGGTCCCTTTGGAGGCAGTAGAGATTGACGTGGCTTGGGACAACGGGGTGTTGAAGACAACGGTGAATTGGCGCCAGTGTTCACAGCTTTCAGAGGCTCATTCCGTCGCCGTTTGGCGTTTGGAGACGGAGAACTTTTGGTACGATTTTCTGTTCCAGCCATTCCTGAAACAAACACGAATAACCTTAACCCAAAAAACGAATAAATATATAAATGAGAAAAAATTTTAAGCATTTTTTCCAAATGACTCTGCTGACATTTTTTCAATTCTTCAGTTCAAA